CCATAAATATTCAATGGCTTTGTCCGTGCAGCAGCAGCACCCGGTGGCAGTTGCAAGTGCAACGAGCCTCGCTGCCACCAGCGACTGGCTGCGGGCCAAGTTCATTATGGCCAAGTTACTCGTGTAAACTCTGTGCCCACCTTAGATCGCAGCAGCAGCACCTCCAATGCAGACGCCATCGATTAAGCCCGGCTAAACGCTCGCCAGCAACACCTGGCGGCGCATGAGCTTTCCTCTTTCATTCCTACTCGCGTTCGATTTGTATCTGTCCTTTAGTGGCGCTGTCAAGACAGCACTTTCAGTTGCCAGACGGTGGCGCCAACAACACGTACGCTGCCACAGAGGTGTCATATGTTGCTACACGCTCCATGCCACACGCTGCATAGTCCCAACTCCCAATTGAGAATTGCCCATGGTGCTGCACCCTTTGTCTTTTATCATTGGGGTACTATAAATGTGTCATGAAATATGTCGAGCTTCAAATAAGTCGGAGATATATGTAGTGGGAAAGAGAGAGTGAGGGATGTGATGTTGATGATGTTCAGCAGGACAAGACTTGGATTTTCTTGCTTGGCGAAGTCTTAGCTTAATGAATATGTTGAAAGTTTTGAGCATCAAACTTGTCAGATTAATGGAGAGCCGGGGATGGAGAAGAGTGATAAAGAAAGAGAGGAAGAGAGAGACAAAGTGTATCCTTTCATAAATATTCAAGCTTAGCAAGATGACATTGGGCTTACCTTTCTTAGTGAAATCTTGAGGAATATATTGAATACTTGACTGACATATTTAGAGATGAGGATAAAGAGATTTGCATAAAGAAAGTCAGCAAAGAGGTAGTACGAGTACAGGTAGAGATAAATAATGTAATATCTGAGAGCAAGAGACAATTTTTTTCCCATGATCGATTGAACTAAATTGAATTGCAGAAGTTGAGCAGAGAGAGAGAGAGAGAGAGGAGAGAGGAGAGAGATGAAAGATCTATAGTCTTAAGCTCAAATAGAGTTTTAAATGTAGGACAAAATAGAGCTAAAGTTATGATAAAACAAAAAAATAATCAAAGCTGTAGACTGAATAAAAAAATTACAAATAAAATTGGATTACGAAAGTTACAAAAAGATGAGCTGCCTTCGATATAGACTTACGATAAGCGAATTATTCCAGTGCGTGATCTTAATGGAATTCCGTATTTATAATCAAATTTCTATCAATATCAAATAATACTAACAACAGAATATACAATATCTCTCTCAAGTAACTGCAACTCTGTTCGCATTCAGCTAGAGTATTTCACCTACTGCATATACAGCGCGAGATCAAGAGAAATTCTTTGTATTTCTTTTCCATTTTTGTTTTCCACTTGAATTGGTGGCGCATCGATGGCACATCGATTGCACGTATGCTGCATGCAACAGCCGTAGCTCCCAGCAGAGCGCAGGTTGTTGCGCTGTGCCGCAGCAATAAACAAGAGAGCAGCGAGTCGAGAAAACGGAGCTGTGCTGAAAGGTGTGAAACGGCACACACACACACACACATAGACAGACAATACCCAGGCGATTGCAAGTTGGCCAAAGTGTTGGCATCGCCCACCAAGGTGAATATCTTTGGGGGCAACAGAGTGGAGGTTGAAAGTTTGTGGATGCCACAAGTGCCGCAACTTTTGGCTGTGGCATTGTTTTTAATTTATCTAAATTGAAAAGTGCAACAAATCGCACAACTAAAACGTTTGCCACTGATAACAGCCAGATAACAGAGTGACTCGCCCCCACCATGCCCCACACACAAAAACAGCTGAAAAGGCAACAGCTAGCCAGCACTTTTGCGATGGAGAGGGGGTGGCGGGTGTGGCAAAGTGGCCGAGAGCAGGGGCCGTTGAGGGAGTATAAAGAGCAAGACATTTGCTGAAATAAAATTTCAATTTGCTTGAATTTCATTTGTGTGTAGGTGTGTCTGTGTGTGCCTGAGTGTGTGTGGGGGGGTGTATAGGTGTGTCTGTGTGTGTGTGCCTGCTTTATCGCCTTGGCAGTTAACGTCAGCTTGGTTTACCGTTATGCTTGGCTGCGTGCGCCGCCAGCAGCAGCAACTCGAAGTAACCGGAACGACAACAAGGACAGCAGCAGGACGATCGAGGGCAAGCTGGAGCACAAGTTGGAGGACAAAGCAACTTTAGCTCGCAGGACAACGCCAAATATTTGTTGTGCGTGTGTGTGTATATATATACATGTGTGTGTATGTTTGTCTGTTTGTCTGTGTACCGATTCTCACGGGCTTCCCACTGTCTGCGTGTCCTGCATTCTGGCCATTCACGCTGCTCGCTGCTCGCTGCTCGCTGCCGGCTGCTGGCTCTGCGTATTCCCGCTGGTGACGTTTGTTGATGGTTTCCAGGTGAATGCACGAATTGCGTTTTCGTATTAAATAATAAATGAATGTCGGATTGTTTTTGCCGCTGCTTGGCCTCAAGTCTCTCAACTACCTCAGCTTACTTTACTCTCTCCCTCTCTCACTCACTCACTCTGGCTCACGCTGTCTCTATCTACTGCTTTACTGCAATAATTCCAGCTGTTCGCTGATTGCCTGGCCGTTGGACATTAAATGTGTATTGCTTATTTCTTAAGTGCCAATGGTTTGTTTATTAAAGCACCTCCCAGGCAGCTCCCCTCCTCGCAATCCTCGCACTCCGCTGGGCCAATGTCGCCACAGGGAATTGTTTGTGCCCGGTTTTTGCCGCACGGCCAAGTAATTAAAGCGAATGATATGTGCAGGAGGCAAATGGGACAGTAGTTGCCGCTGCTGTGAGGAGACATTGGAGGAGGCGTTGGCACTCGGCGCTGTGCGTTGATAGATTAACTCAATGAATTTGCTGGCAGCGACGCTTGGTGACTTAATTACCCGCCCCATCATCATCAGCAGCTTCGCCAGCTGCTGTGGCTGCTGCTTCTTGATGATTCAACAACACATTTTGATAGCACTCGCGGTAGCTCATTACGCAACACTCCCAGCTATTATGTCTCTGTTTGCGCGTCTTTGTGTGTCTTTGTATGTATGTGTGTATGTATGTGTGTGTGTGTGTGTGTGTGAGGTCGATAACTCTTTGAGTTTGCTTTTCAGCTGCTGCTTAATTAATATATTTTAGATACTATACAAATCTATTAAGCAGCTTAAATGCCACTTACTGCTTTGGTTACGCAACAATTTGGTTAATTGCTGTGGTATGCGGCCCTAAGTATGAAATGAGAAATTGACTTTGTGGCATATGAATAGTTTAAAGGTTTTTTGGCAAATAGCTGGCAATAATTACAGTGCTTAGTGCTCATTGCTTTGATGTAATTGAGGTAAGAATCAACTATCATTGCATGGCTTATATAAAACAGATTCCTTACGACTTTAACTTTAAAATATAATATCTAATTCTATATATACTTAAATCTATAATCTATTTATTTACATTCCCATTCATATTTATACATCCTTATTTATATGTAGTCTATTCCATGTGCTAAGCATAGTTTTGGCAAATCCTTGCAGCTTAAGCCATCTTATGAACCTTAAATAACTATTTATTAACATATACATGTTAACTCCATGTTAAGATGCTTACTAAAAACACACAAAACTTATTTTGCTAGATAGCTTATTTATTTTTCAGAAATGTAATATAAATAGTTTACATTTTTGTGAATAATAACAATTAAATAGTTAACTAAAATTACAAAAGTATAAATATGCTATAAATATGTAAATATTTGGTAGATTTATGAATCAGTTTTTAATTATGTTGCCGGTAATAATATGTGAATAAATATGTATGTATGTATATATTCAGTGTATATTAATTTATTTAAGCGCATGTATTAATATATGCTCTGCACCTGCGGTATTTTTTAATTATAAATTACATAAATACTTGCGTCGAGTGCTGCAATTGCTGTCGTCGTCGTTGCTGTTGCTGTTGTTGTTGTTGTTGTTGTCCCTTTGCCTTGTTGCTGCTGCAAAGCAATTAATTAAATTTTTGGTAAATGCATTTAATGCAAATGTTTCAACTGCTCAGCACGTTAAATACTAAATTCATTCCAGACATACATATATGGGATATATACATACTTATATGTCTGTTTGTGTGCGTGTGTTTTGTGTTTCTATATGTTCAATTTGTAATTCACACTGCTTCACACACATACACACACACTCACAGTTTGCATTTGCTTTTCACAGCACAATTTTCACATTTTGCATTGTGTGCATTGGCCTGCAGCTAATTTGTAAATGTTTTTCAGCATTTTTCTCTTTTTTTTTTTCTTGTGCCCTTAGGGCCTGCAATGTTGTTTGTATTTGAACATTAACAAATTTTTTTATTGATTTTTTTCATAGATGATTTTTATGGCAAGTCAGTTTTATTCACGCCTGTCTGCATTGTCACGAATATATTCATTTACAGTTTATTTATTGATAGAATCTGCAGCGCACTGGGTTGATCGTTGTCGTTGTCGCATGTATTTAGTTGACTTGGTGATACGAGCCCTTATCAGTTCTCCGTCCAGTTGTATAGATATGCACACGGGGCGCGAGAATGATAAGGGTACGAATGCACCGGCCAATGCCCAACGGCAGATTGGCCATTTATACACACACACCCACACACATGCACACGCACATGTGCTGCAACTGATACTCACCATTATTTGGCTTTTAGCTGCCAATCAATCATATCGCAGCTGCACAGTGAGAAAACTACAAAGGCTACAAAACAAATAAAACTTTGTCAAATGTTGAATGTTAAATTGTGAACTGTATTTGGCGCTGTGAGCCGGTGTGACATAACGACAGCTGGACAATGCAAATAAGTTGTGCAAAAAACCAAAAAAAAAAAAAAAAAAAAATGAAAACGAAAACAAAAGCAACTAGAAGAAGCAGCGCTAGTGGACATAAAAATATTCAGCAGGCAAACAGTAATTTGCAAATGAAAGCCGCAACAGTGAAATAAAGAAAGAAACAATAGCAAGCAAAATCAACAGCAACAACAGCAGCAGCAGCAGCAGCAGCAGCAGCAGCAGCAGCAGCAGCAGCAGCAGCAGCAGCAGCAGCAGCAGCAGCAGCAGCAGCAGCAGCAGCAGCAGCAGCAGCAGCAGCAGCAGCAGCAGCAGCAGCAGCAGCAGCAGCAGCAGCAGCAGCAGCAGCAGCAGCAGCAGCAGCAGCAGCAGCAGCAGCAGCAGCAGCAGCAGCAGCAGCAGCAGCAGCAGCAGCAGCAGCAGCAGCAACAGCAGCAGTAGCACTCAGCTCATATGCATACTGCATTTGCATACATACATATACATATGCTCGTATGTGGATATGTACATACATATACATACATACATATTAAACAAAAGCACATGCACTCACGCACGCACACACATAAATAATTCAGCAATCAAACATGAGACAGCGTCTAGCTCGAGTTGCTCTAGCTCCAAAATAAAATGAATTTATTAAAATAAAAATATACAACCAAAATTGTTGCCTACTTTTGTTCGCTGCTTTTAAATGCCCAACAAACGAATTAGAAAACAAAAAGTGGGCGAAACTCGTTTAGTGATTGCCAAAAAAGCAAAATAAAACGAGAAAGGAGCGCATTTTTGTTGAAGTGTATTTGCTGCATAGCCGCACTAATTGATTTTTGGGCATATGCAGTTTATAGCCAACGAGCCCTCAAGTTTAGGCGCTTTACAAATAGCTTTTCAAATAGCCAAACGAGTCGAGAGGCGAACGCTGAGCTGAAGTGGCGGCCTTTGGTTCAGTTTCCAATTGAATTCGAGAACTGTTTTGATTGAAATAACTAGCGAGTGGCTAGAGATGAGAGCGTGAGAGCTGCGAATGGAATGGAAGGGAAGCAAAAGGCGTGCGTGATAAACGAGTTTATAGAGTTGAGATAGATGCTAAAGGAGAAAATTAAGGTAGAGTTATATTGTGTATTATGCAAAAGTGAAAAATATTTCTAATCAATGAAGTTTAATTTGTATTTAAATAAAAATTATATTTACAATAAATACATATATATGTTGAATATTTATAAATTTATCATAATCATGCAGCTATTTCCTATAGTTGTGTTTTGTAACATTATTTGTATGATGATTTTTGAGTATTTAAGTCTTAGATTTTTGAGCTATTTTTATATTATTTAATATTAATATAACTGATTTACTTTATTTATTTATTTATTTTTTTTTTTGTAAAATCAAGAAAGCATTCATTTCATTATCCATTTTCATTTTAGAAAACTATATATTCAAATTAATTTAATTTTCACTTTTTAATTTATAAAGAAACCTCTATGCTTCTCAAATTCATAGCTCATCCTATCTCTCCCTCACTCGTGTCACGCACGCACTCCATCTCTATTTGCTGCCAGTTAGGATTAGTTGGTTTAGACAACAAAAAATAGCTGCCCTTTGGCTTTTCCCAAAAAGTTTACCCAAAAAAATAAATAAACAAGAGGAAAACGCACGCTCAACTCTGTGTGTCTGATTATGTGCTGGCCATTTTCGCAAATCGGCGATGAATTCATGCGAAAATCAAATGCAGAATGCGTAAATCTGCAAAACGGAAGCCGAATGCAGAAAGTGTAGCTGCGTTATGAATTTTTGAAATGAATTTCGCTGCTGTTAGTGCTGCTGCCTGTTGTTGTTGTTGTCGTTCTCGTTGTCGTTGTCGTCGTTTTCGTTGTCGTTGCTGTTGTTGTGTAATAAATCAAAACTATGCAACAAAACGCGCCACAAGGCATGCCAAAGGACTTATCTGTGGACCGTATATAAAACGTTAAAAACGTTGGCCAAGCCAAAAGCTCTGGCCAGCCCAGCTGGTACACCTAGCCACAAAACCGACCAACAACGAGCTGCCCAGTCGCTGCCCTTTTGGCTGATGCTGCCGCTGTTGCTGCTGCTGCTGCTGCTGCTACTTTAGCTGCTGCTTCTTTATACGTCTCATTTTTTTTTTTACTGTTGCACTTTTACGGTTATAAATTTTAACACACAAGAGGCAGCAGCAGCAACACAGGGCGAGGTGGAGCGGTAGCAGAAGCGTGAGCTGGAGATTGGGGGCACATAAAACCGGACACATGCTTTTAATCTTCGGCACAAACATGCTCACTGCTCGCTGATGCATGGCAACTCTGGTAGCAGCAGCAGCAGCACCCCGCTCCCCTCCCCCCATCCACTAAAGTGCAGATCTCCACACAGTGTCTCCACACGGTTGTTGATGGCGAATGGCTTATGGGGCTGCCTCGACTGTTGCCATGCATAAAATCTTCCGCCGGAAGTTAAAGAGCTCACACAAATCTCCGTGGCGAGCGCGTTGCTTTAAATGCCGGCACCCTAAAAGTATGCACCATTATTTTCGTGCCACTTTTATTTTTCAATTAGATTTTGCTAGTTTCGTCTCGCTTATCGGGGCTGGCCTTTATGCGCCTTTTTATGTGGCAACAACATTTAGCAGTACCACGACTTGCTTTTTATTCCCTCTCTCTCTCTCTTTCTCTCTCTCTTTGGCTATTGTTGTTTGCATTTGTTGGCCAAGCGGCGCTCTTTCGGCTAACCAATAATGGCTATGGCAATTGGCCATGCCACAGGCCGTAGGCCGTTTCATGTTGGCCTGTCGCGCGCTATCGCCAACAGCCACGCGTTTCACTGTATGTGTGTGTGTGTGTTTGGTCTTTGCAGCGTCTGGGCCACGTTATCAGCGAGGCAGCTGGCGCAGGTGCTTTAAATTTACCAGCATGTTGACCCAACTCACACACACATACTCACATACACACACAAACAGCGACAAATGGGCGTGCCTGCGGGGCGTGTGACAAAAAGGCACAGTTATGCAGTGGCAGTGGCAGTGGCAGGGGCAAGGAGCGGGCGGCGGTGGGGATAGTGGTATCCTGTGGGTAACTGTGGCTTAGTTTGCATATTAGTTGAGCCACCCAAAGAGAGTGAGAGAGAGAGACACAGAGAGAGAGCAAATCGATGCGTTGTTGTTGGTCTTTGAGAAAAACGAGGCATTTAGCGCCAAGCGTTATGAATATTGAAACAATTTTGCGCTTGCCATTTTGAATTTTGAATAGATTTTTGTGGCATGCCCTGGGCGGTGACAGCAGCAGCAGCAGCACCATCACCATCATCATCAACATCATCATCGTCATAATGTTCATCAACTTTAGCTCTTGCTTTGTTGCTGCACAAGTTGCGCAAAGCCTCTGCCACAACTTGCCGCAGGCTGTGGCAAGCCAAATGAAGCGCACCGCCAAGATGTTGACTGTGGCAAGTTGACAAAGTACTGACTGCCTCACTCTTCTACCCTACACACCCCTCTCTCTCACTCTATCTGTCCCTCTCTTTCTCCCGCTGTCGGTCTTTGCTTTACTTTTTAATAGCACACTTTGCAGCACTCGCTTTAAATATGTTCGAAAAGTTGATGAAATGCGCGCGTAATAAATAAAGCGCAAAATATGCTCGCAAATCATGTGGCAGGCATCCGGGCAGGCAATCCAGACCAAACAGCTTAAATTGTTGTTATGAGCGCGCTCAAGTTAATACAAAAATGTATTTTTGTTTACATTAATTAGTGAGAGAGTGAGAGAGGGAGAGAGAGAGAGATAGTGAGAGAGGGAGAGAGAGAGAGATAGTGAGAGATAGTAAGAGAGGGAGAGAGAGAGAGAGAGGAATTTCCTTTATAGATACCTGGAATGTTTGAGATTGTTCATTAAAAGGTAACAATATGATTTCATTAAGTCAGCGAATACTTAGGCTGGAATATTTTCTAGTTAATGAATAATAATTAAAATATCTCAAGAGCCAGAGCTTTAAGGATTCTCTCTTGCAATATGTCAGCTGCTAGATCAAATCAAGTCTCCCATATATATCTCAAAAGCTAAAGCTTCTCCATAAGCTGAAATAAAATGTGGCATATTTATTCACAACTGCCCTCAGCCTATATATGTGCGTGGCAAGTCGAAAAAAAACAACAAAATAAACAAAAAATTGCAGAGTTATTGAGAAAGGCTTTTCCCGCAGATAATTCTATAAAGTTCTATGCGGATATTTTGATCTCTAAATACACTTTTTTTTTTTCTTAGATTGAACGAGCATTAGACAGTCAGTAACACCTGCCAGCAGTATTCAAATTTATTTCACATCATTAGCACAAATAAGAGAACACATTTGAAAACAACAACAAATAATTGAAAACAATATTTCCGTTCAGGCCAAACCTAAGAGCAAAAAGTTGGAATAATATACAAACTTTGTTGATGCACACACTTTGTCTCTATCTCTCTCTCTCTCTCTCTTTTGCTATATTTTGGCAAATGTTCAAAATGGTGCGTCAGTCAGTCAGGCTGGCGAATCTATTAATGAATCTATAAGCAACTAGGTGAAATATGCACACAGGAACTAGAGAATATATATATATATATATATATAAATGTAAGCAAACAAATTGTAAAATTGCAAAGCAACAGCTGATTGGCTGTGTCCTTTCTAGTCTTCTTCTTCTCGCTTTTTATTTCTGTGTAAATTTGTTTGACAAGCGCTCAGGCATTAGGCAAAAAAAAGACAGAGAAAAAAAAATGAAATATGACAAAATCAATTTAGCAAGCCGAAGCTTAGCCGTTGTTGGTTTTATTGCTATTGACAACGTTGCCAAGTGCTGAGGCCAAATGGACACGGCCTGTTGACATCTGTCTGTAGCTTCATTTGCATATGATAGCGTGTGTGTGCATGTGTGTGTGTGTGTGTATTGCTTAGCAAAATGTAAATGCAGGGCTGCAATTCAAATGAATTTCGCATGTAAAATGTGCCAAAGAGTGAAAATCAAAACAATCAAGTGAAACATTTGACAGAGGGCAAGCGAACCGAGTACACACACACACACACAGTGAGAGAGACAAACACACACACACTCGCACGCACACAGAATAGAAAGAAAGAAACGCAATGTTAAATGTCATAAATATAAAATCGAATTCAAATTGAAAGCAGATCGAGCATTAGATGCGAGTCGTGTATGTGTGTGTGTTTGAGTGTGTGTGTGTGAATGTGTGTTTGGTTAGTATTTGCATTTAATTAGCAAAAAACCTATGCATAGATTGGCATTGTTGATTTGGCCAAAATACACACACACACACACACGCACACCTACTCGCATTTGTTTGGCTATAACTGTTTGCAATTTTGCAATTACGCAAAACGTTTATAAATTATGCAATTGCCATGACCACGCCCACTTGAGCCCATCAACAATTTGTTTAATGAAGCTCAACACAAAACCACAAAATCAAATCAGCGGAAGTTGTTGCACAGTTGTTCAGTTGTTTGGTTGTTCAGTTGTTGTTTGGCCAACAATTTCTGAAATATTCATGTAATTAACATTTAAATCATAATTCATAAATGTGACTAACGGAAATTCACAATTGTTTGATGCCAAATGCAAACGTTAAGCTGTCCAAAAAACACAAACCCAAG